AAACCGGGGGGAGCCGAGGCGGCCAGGGAGGAACAGCCAACTGCCGGCAACCAGCCGGAACTGCTGGGGCCGGCCCGTATTGAAGAATATGGCCGAATTTACCCGGGCTGGCCGTATATCGGCGTATAACACGCACACATCATTTGCCCCCTATTTTCAGGGGGAAAAAGTGCGTGTTATACGCCGATAAATACGGTATGTGGTTTTTGGACATATATTTTGCTTTTGAGTAAACATGGTTAGGATCAAACTGCTGGTCTTGGAAATATATGCATGATTAAATATTCACAATTCACATTTTTTAAATAATGGGATTTGATAACTAGTAATAGCTAAACATGAGGTAACAAGCATGCAGACACTAGATGCAGAACTTAACGGCTTATTTAAATTACTGCTTTTGAGGGTTTTTTTGTTTTTGTTTTGTTTATTTGTTTCTTGCAGATTCTGGGATTTAGCTTACCCTGAGAGATCATATATTGTTGCTGGAAGTCCTAGCTCTCCATCAGTATCATACTATAGAAAGATAATTGAAGGCACAGAAGTTGTTCAGGTACATTAGTTATGGCTTTTATCCAACTCATCCAATTTCTACACATTGTTATACTTATTTGTAAAATTCATTTAATTTCTTTAGCATAGAACTTTTCTTGCAGACATTTCATTACAAACCTTGGCTGTTTTTATCAACAAGAAAACAGCTAAGCTCAGAGAGCACCAAGGCACCAAATCTATAACAAGTAAACACATTTAGTGGTACAGAATATGTAACAAATTTCCTAGTTTTAAAATAATTAACAAACTGATTTAATACGGGGAAATCTTATGCTAAAAACAACAGTTTTTATAGCTTGGCACTGTCTATTTCATGGTTTTCTCTTCATCAGGAAATTCAAAACAAGCACAAGATGGGACCTACAGATGAAACCCCTCGAAGGGGTCCTGAATCTTTACCAATTGGGCACCATGACATCATCACAGACGTTGCCACTTTCCAGACCACTCAAGGATTTATAGTTACTGCATCACGAGATGGTATTGTCAAAGTATGGAAGTAAAGTTTACACTGATTTATATATGTAAATAATTGTAATAAAGACTTAGCATAGGATTAATTTTCTTTGAGGAATTGTTTATATAGCACAAGGGACAATGGTGCTCATGAAAGTAAGTAGTGGCTCTCTTGTCAACAGTTGGCACTAATACTATTGGCCCTCTTGGAACCTGCCATTATATTTATGTGGAATGATTTATGTAGCATTTTCTCAAACTGCCAAGCAAAAGAAATTGAAGTGAAGAAATTGTATTTAACATCTAACAATGCTATTCTTTAAAAGACTTTAGAAATTGTTTATAAACATGAAAAAATGTATTAAGCTGCATCAACAATATTTATGTAAGCTGACTTTTTTACAGGCCAGGTGAGAGAGTGATAATACAAAATTATTGCACTTTTGTTTCTGTATATTCAAACTCTGTATGCGTAATGTTGGAAAATAAAGAGTTTGGATCACTTTTCTGTGTCAGAGTTAAAGTTTAATATGAATAGTGTTCTATATCCAAGTATGAGAATCTGAATGAAACTCTCAGTTCTAGTCTCTATTCAGGGTTGGTTTTTTTTTTGAACATTGCACCTTATTTCTTTTATATAAATATTACGATGGCACAGGACATTTGCAATTTATTTCTTCAGTATTGCTGTCAAGCTGAATACTTTCTGATTTCCAAATATATGAAAATGAAATAAAGAAAATGAATTCCTTAAGAATGAGAAGCTTATTTGGATCTATTTCAATCAAGTTTCTATATTATTTGAGGAGGGAAATGGCTTTGTGCTTTGGATGCCTTTCACTGCTAAATATCTGGAATGTATGTGTTGGGGGCATAGGGGTGAGAGAGAAAATAACCTTGTTAGTTTTCAGTTTTTGAAGAACTTCCAATAATATCAATCATGGTATTCTCCACATATAGAATTGGAATAGTTTTACAATGTCTCAAATTTTTAAGGGAGAAGAAGCCCAAAATGTGATGTTCCTGTTATCCCAAGATGTGTAACCTAAAAGTTGTACTTGGCTGGCAGTGTTGCCCATGGCTTACAATTGTTTTCATAATACATTAAAACTTGAGTGACTAGTTTTTTATTTATTATTTCGTATAGGATACTTAATTGGATACCTAAAGGTTTCATTTGGCATTAACCTCTATATTATATCACTAGAAGTTTATTTATTTAATAAAATTTATATGGCCTCCCAATTCCCTCTCAGTGACCCTGGATATTTTACAGATAAAATATAATATAAAAAACAATAAAAAGCAATAACATCCCCTCCCCCCAGCATCAACAGTCAATCAAATAAGCCACCTGATGGACTCCAACTCATTCTGTTCCCCAAGCCCATTGCAAAACCAGGTGTTCAGGACCTTGTGAAAGAGTGTCAAATTGGGGGCCAGTCTTATCTCTGCAGGGATGAAATTTCTGGGAGGGAGCAACCATGGAGGAGGCCCTTCTTTCTGATCCCATTAGATGTACTTTTTAGGATGGGGGACACGTAATATTTCCCACCTCCCTACTCTGGTGGGTTGGGTAGATGTGACTAGGAAAAGACAATCCTTCAATTAACCTGGAGTTGTAAACCCAGAGACCCCCCCCAAAAAAATTATGCACTTAACTCACCCTGAGACAAAGCATAGCTGGGTGTCTTCAGCATATTGATGATGTCTCAGCCCATGGTGGCAGATGATCTCAACTAAGGGCTTCATGTAGATGTGAAACAGAAGCAGAGAAAGTACCAAGCCCTGCAGGACTTACATAACAGGGGACAAGGGTTTGGACTTCTTGCTTCCTATCAATACTGAAAGTAATTGCAGAGGAAAGAAGTGAACCAGGGCAACACAGAACTCCCCCACTCCCAACCCCTGAAGCTTCTCCAGAAGGATACCATGGTTGATGGTATCAAAAGCCAGTGAAAAGTCAAGTAGAGTGAGGATGGACATACTACTACTATCCTGCTCACACCAGAGTTCATCTAAAAGTGTGACCAATGCTGTTTCTGTCCCAGAACCAGGCTTGAACCTGACTAGAGAGGGTCTAGATAATTAATTTCATCCAGAGACCTCTGGAGCTGCTGCACAACCACTTTTTCAACAACCTTCCTCCAAAAGAGAAGATAGGACACAGGGCAAAAATTATCTAATAGGGTGGAGTCTAGCAATGGCTTCTTAAGAGGGTGAATCTGCCCCAGATGCCTCCACTGGGCTAGCAACCACACCAACATCTAACTGGGAACAAATCCAAACAATTTTGCCTTCTAGAAAATCAGCAAATTCCGTAGCACTTCTCTTCAGATAGACCTCTGTCTTTTCCTTTCCCAGGAGAGATGGCTCACCTTAAAGAGGATTGCTGGCCTATTATCTGCATTACTTAGGCTCTGCCACCAAGTAGTCTTTAGTAGCAACTATTACTTATATTCGATTGAATTTTGTCCCTTGTCATCCACCAGTGGCACTCTAGACGTCTATCCATTTCATCCCTTCCAATTCCCCCATATACCACAGTGGACAAAGAGGTTTATGAGTTAGAAGAGGTTGAATGAATATAATCCTATCCTGATCTCTTTCACCTCTTATTCCAAGTAATAACCAGAAGCTCAGCAGAACTTTGCATCAGATCTACAGTTATAAACCCCAGTTCCTTCTGAAACCCATCTGGGTCCATTAGTCACTTGGGCCAGATCAACCTCATAGGTCTTACCTCTCTAGAGAGAGGTACAAAGTAATGGCCTGGAAGTCCCAATAAGTATAGTATACAAGGTTTAATTTTGAGAAAACTACTTGTGTTGGTACCACCATGACTTAAAGTAGCAAGAGGCTGCAAAAGTTCTTTGGGCAATTTTCCAGAAAAACAGTTTTATAGATGTCTGTCTAGACAGAAAGTTTTGGTGATTCACTTAATAGCTATTGTCATCTATATTTTATTACAGAAAGATTACCGAAGTGATCAAAGTAGCTAAAGTTTTATATGTTGTTATATCTGTTCAGTTTCAAGAACTATCCTCTCATATCCATGCATCTGTTTGTGGCTCATTTTAAGTTTATACATATTAAAGTAACTAGACGCAGGATGGAAGAGAGCTTCAAAAATGCAGAGTTTAAGCATTATAATTCAACAGGTCTGTTTTTTTGTTAGGTATACACAATTTGTTTGTGTTTCCTTATTTTCTGACTATTTAAATTCAGATTGAAGAATTAATGCACCTATCACAAATTACGTAACCACAATAACTGTTGCTTAAAATATTTCATAATTTTATACAATGCATTGTTCTAATTTAGCAGTACATAGCAAAACAGTCTTCTATTGTTTCAGTACAATAGCTAAGGACATTAGAAAATAATAAATTGGGACATTAAGTATTTTGTAGAAAAAAAAATCCAGGCAAGATTGAAATGTCAGGACTTTATTCCTAGTCACCTTGTACTCAAACAACATATATGAACTGGAACAGATTTTGCATACCAATATTATAGCACTGAATATAAAGCAAGTTCCCACTTAAAAATATTTTATTGGCAATGTGCAATTATTGTGTTTAAAGCCTTTTCTGTCCAAAATTCCTCACTTAAATTTCCTGATCTTCCCATTTCAATAAGAAAACTAAAATTGAACATGTAGATTCACAAATGAAAATCTTTTCTTCTTATTAGCCTTTAGTCTGTCTTGCTAGTACAATCATGTTGCTCTTTCTCAATTTTTCTTCAATTCTTTTAGAATTTTTTTTCTGCTGTTCTGACATCAGTTTTATATCTTTTTTATATCTTTCAGATTTCCAAAGAAATAATGTAGTAGATTAGTAAAATTAACATAAAATATTTGACAACATTCAACATAGTTGATTCACTTAATTTAATTGTAGATCTGAATACTTCATTAATTTCCAAACATCTGAAAATGAAAAGAAAAAAGGTTTACTGATGAAAAATGTAATTTCGTATATTGCTATAAAAGAATAATCAACTTTTCCCATAAGACATCCTTAAAATATGATTTATAACTCCCATAAATCCTTGATCAATACCAATCCTATTAACTGGTTAGAGGCCACTGGATTAAGAAAAGATATAAAACTCAAAGCCCCAGAGGTACACATGTCCATTACCCCAAATCTTAGATCCATTCTTCAGTGATCTCCAAAAGTTGTTACCAAAATATGTTTAATCTCAAAAAGATTAAGATTGAGAATTGCCATATGGATTATATAATTTTCATTACAGTTGAGCATACTTGATTGATATCAATCAATAGCATTGATACTTAATGCTACATTTGCATTTAGGTCACCCATAGGTCTATGAACAGTGACCCATCTAATTCAGTAACAAGCAACTTGATGCTAATCACATTTCTTGATCTATAGTCTCTTTACCCTGGCCATGCTGGCTGGTAAAACAGACGCTGGAATCTTAAAAATCCAGGAGATACCAGATTACTGGTATCAAATTAACTGCAAATCTGACTGGGATTATTCAGACAGTCACCTTACCTCTTCATGGCATGAATAGCTGCACTGCTTATGCACTTTGCACAAATGAACCAGTTGGGAGGAAAGAAAGAGAACCAAATGCCAAACCCATCCTACCAAAATTGAAAACTTGGAAATGAGCGTGAAGGTTTTGTATCTGCTCTGAACTCTACATAGTGATCAAATTGTAACTTGTAGTTTATACCTTCTGCATATAGTCCAGCTGGAAGTATGATAAGGTGTTTTGAAGCCAAAAGTTTACCCCTTTTATCATATTTTGAATATTAACTATCCAGATATCTTTACATATTATTAATTATACAGCTACTGTATATGGCCCAATCCAAGTAATATTTAGCATTCTTTACACATAGATGTGTAATGGTGGATGGGGGAAGAAATCAGCAACAAGGGATAAAATAATTCCAGGTTGTTTTTTTTAAAAAAAGTACATGTTTGCAATGTTTATATCTTAATTTATGCAGTTATATAACTGGCTAACTCATAATGTAACTGGGCAATGTACAAAAGGTGTTATTTTATGAAAATCTACTTACAATAGACGGATGAGCATTATTGGCTATCTTTTCAGGAAATAAAGAATCACTTTGCGGGTATTCTGGAAAAGCAGAGCCATTCTCATCAATTAAATGAATTTTATTTGGTGGAGTCTTGTCAAATGGAGTGCTGCGAATAAAATAATGTATTGACAAAGATTTTAATGCAATACATAAAAGTGCTACTTTAAAAAAAATAATTAATAAACAAATATTTTTTCAAATATTTTGTCATTAAAAAAAGTATATCATTCTCAGTCTGATGGAGAAAAAAATATTAAAAATTGGTGAAATAAGAAATAGCTGAATTCTCGAGAAAGGATTGTACTGAGTTTTATGGCTAGGCTAACAATGTCTGATTAAAAATTTAAACTTGGAGAATAGTAAAACTAATAGAATATACAAAACAAAACCAAAAAAAACCCCAAAAGGATCT